GAGTTCCAGAATCTGTGGCAACAACTTGGAACTGGAACGTTTTCAGAATTTCAAAGTCAAAACTTTTTAGTGCTGAAATGTAACCGTTATCAGAATTTATATTTAGAAAAGACATGATGTCATTTTGACTACCTTCTCTCACTATATGATATGACACAGCTGCATTGTCATTCACGTCTTTGTCCGTTGCGCTAACAGAGAAAATTGAATTTCCGGCAACGTTATTTTCTACAAGATAAAACTCTAAAGGGGCTTGCTGAAAATGTGGGCTGTTGTCGTTTACATCCGATATCTGAATACTCAGTGTTTTGACACTAGATAAGGGAGGTTCACCACAATCGATGGTTTTTATTGTTATTTCATAATGTGACACCTCCTCTCGATCCAAAAATCCCTTCGTGACAACTGAATATATGTTTTCCTTATAAGAAGGTTTTAATTCAAAAGGAACGTCTGAGGTTATGCTTGATATTATTTTTCCATTGACACCGGAGTCTCTATCCGTTACACTAATAAGTGAAATAACTGTTCCAGGCTTTGAGTCTTCAGATACTGTATTTGACAGTGATGTTACTTCTATCTCTGGTGGATTGTCGTTGACATCTATTATTTTTATAACGACCCTACACTCACCCGTTAATGGCGGTGTTGCTTTATCTGATGCCTCAACATCGAGTTTATAAACCTCGTTTTCTTCATAGTCCACAACTCCTTTAATTCTAATCTCTCCAGTTATTTTGTCCAACTCAAACATTTCATAGATTTTTTGCTTCATGGTTTTTCCAAGGCTGTATTCAATTTCCCCATTTGTGCCTTCATCAGGATCCGTAGCATTCATTTTAAATATTGAGGTACCGAATGGAGCATTTTCATATATGTCTATTTGAAAAGTATCCTGACTAAATAGTGGACGATTATCATTAATGTCAAGAACAATAATAGAAACATTTAGTGTCCCGGATTTTGGAGGTTTACCTCCATCAACTGCTGTAACCAGTAGCGTGTGTTTGTTCTTTTCTTCTCTATCTAACGATTTCTTCAGCACTACAAATGGTATTTTGTCCTCATCACTTTGACGGATGTCTACTTCAAAGTGGTTATTTGACGTCAAAGTGTATGTACGGATAGAGTTACTTCCAGCATCGGGATCACGAGCAGTGTGCAGTTGAAATCGCCTTCCCGGCAATGTATGCTCAGCTATTTCAAATATCTGTTCCCTTTCAGGAAAACTAGGAGAGTGATCATTTACATCAGTAATTTCTACAAGCACATAGTGTATTTCCAAAGGGGTTTCAACGAGGATCTTTAGCTCCATCAGGCATGCACCGCTGCCTTGACAGAGCTCCTCTCTGTCAATGTGCTTGTCGACGTACAAAGCCCCATTATTCTGGTTTACCTCAAAAATAGCGTCCTTACTTCCAGATACAACACGGAACCGTCGAGCAATCAAAGAGGTGATGTCAAGGCCAAGATCCTTCGCAACATTTCCAACAACAGTTCCCTCTTGTACCTCCTCGGGAATAGAGTACCGTATCTGAGCCAAAGCCTGTTTTCCGAACAGCAGTAGAACCAAATAAAAAGCCAACCAGGAGCAGTCCTTTGTCCGAGATTTTGAATCGATCCCCATCGTTATCCAACAACACATATACATACGGGAGGTTGTTACTTCAACAAACAATTATTTATATCCAACTCTCTCAAGATCGCACATTTTCAAAAACCAATGCGTGACTCCATCGGCTCGTGTGCTTGATTCAAAAACCTTCTTAGCTGTTCAGTAGAAAACAAAAGCCTTGAAAGGGGAGGGAGAAACCCGTCAATGGTTTACCGATGTAATAGTGACACCCAGAGGTAATTAACAAACTGCACTATTTTTAACACAAACAGTTTGAAGTCATGCATTCTTTTAGAAAGACAGCTATTAATTCATAATTTAAATACTTTTTTTTCTTTAACATTACATGTCTGTTTGACACAATCATGCGTTTCAGCACCATATACAGCATCATCAAGAAGCAGCACAGCCTTTCCCTCTAATGACAAAAGTAGTTCAGTATGATTACGACTAGCTGTATATTGCTCAAACAACTCAACAGAAACACTGTAACGTCTTCGAACTTATCATTCAGTTGGTTAGAATTTGGAATATTCTGAGACCCATATCAAAAACCCACTTCCTAAATATTCCCCAAAAACAGACAAAGTACTCTTGGGCTGGGAAACGAGACCATTTTCTTTTCAGCACCATGGACAGTGGTCATAATCAAAGGAAATATATCATAGTTAGGAGTTTGTTTGTGCATGACAACCCAGAGGAGAGACAGGCAGTGAGAGAATAGCAGAGAGCAAGGCGTAGCTGCTGTAGACGGAGC